ATCTATTTAATGATATATTCAATTAATATCTCTGTTATAATAGAGATTCAATTATTATATGCTGCTCTATTTAATGAGAAATCAATCAATAAATACTATTCTGCTTAAGGCGAAAATATTCAATATATATTATTCTCTTTATTAAGAAATCAATCAATTTATAAATCTATAATTATTAGGAAACCATTCAATTAAGCTTAATAAATTCATATTTTTATTATTTATTTATTAAAAGATATATAATAAAAATTCCCTTATGAATTAACAAATCAATAAATATATATTATTCTATTTAATAAGATTTGTTATTATTTTATTTATTTCTATTTTTTAAAATATCAATCAATATATATTATATTATTTATCGGGGGAAATTCAACCTATATAATCTTACTAAATAAAAAATAAATCAATCTATATGAATTTATTTATTAGAGGCCATTCAATTCATATTTTATATTTATTACCATATCTTATTATCTTCAATTAATTCAATTCGACCAATAACTTCCTTCCCGACCTCGATAGAAATATATCGATATCTTTATGCAAAAAAAAAAAAGAATATATATATATATNNTTATCCACCCGTTGCGGGGGAAAGGAGGGTTGGACCACATAGTCCGTTTAGTGGACCGTGGTACGATATCTAGGATCTCGGAATTCTTTGAATAAATCGAAGCTTATTTAATAAGGATATTTCTAGAGAACAGAATATGTTATAGAATACTTCTGATATATATCCTCTAGAATACCTTCTACCTTATAGAATTTTTTATACTGGTCCCCCCGCGATATAACGTACATATACATTAAACAATACCATCTGGAATACGTTATAAACGACCGCCTGTATATGATAACCCCTATATACCTTACATATGCCATATAGAAAACCTACAATATATTAAAAGAATACCTTGCAAGATTCTCTCCAGAATCACTTATAGAATACCCTCTAGAGTATCCTATAGATAGGGATGCTAAATATGGAAAACCAGCTGGAACTGAAGATCTGAGAAGTCCTCAGTTGATTTGTAGCTTATGGGCAAGGGGTTCCTACGATTGAAATCAGGAGTCAGGACGAATAACCTTACAACTACCTTATAGCAGACCTTATGATTACCTTATAGAATTCAAGCTCTATATATTATATCTTTAGAATATTTTAAAGGACTCCCTCTAGAATCCCCTTTGGAATATCCTACAAACAAGGCTTCTAAATCTAGAAACCAATCGGAGCTAAAGATCTGAGAAATCCCTAATTGAACTGTAGCTTATAGGTAGAGGGATCATATACAAGAAATCAGCAATCAAGATAAATGGCCTTGCACCCACGTCATAGAAGGCCTTTCCAACTACCTCATAGAATATCCCTTCTATAGAAAAAAAAGAATTTCATATAGGATATCCCACAGAATACCTTTCTAAAAATAGACTACAGCATATGCTTTATATGTATATTATAGAATATCCCATAGAATACCTTATAGAATGCCCGATAGACTAACATATGGAATACTCTATAATAGAATATCTTGCAGAAGACTAATATACCTGTTATAGACTTGAAATATACCTTATAGAATAGCTTCTACAATACCTTTTAGGATGCCCTATAGCATATTTTATAGCAAATGGCTCAAATAAAGACAATCAAGAAGAGCCCAAGATTTGAGAATTCCCCGATTAAACGTTAGCTATTTAATAAAACAATTATAAAAAGAAAGCAAGACTATCGGACCGCCCCTACTTATTATCCGTATTTACAATATATATAACAGCGATTAGACAGCCCTATTTTTGAAATAAATCCTGCTGGAAGCCTGAAGCACTCCAATGGAGAGAGAGTTGCAGTCTCCTACCCCACAGACCTGGCTTTCTCACAGGTCTTCCATGGCGGACGGCTCTCAAGTTGAGGCCCCCGCTAGCATTTTGTAGGGTTTGGGGTTTAGGGCTTAGGGTTTAGGGAGGTTTAGGCAGGGTTTAGGCACATGCAAGAGCCATGGTGATCGATGAGTCTCCAGATTCCATATCGCCGCTGTAGTGTGCACCTGCGGGTGGGTGCTCGGTGCCAAGCAGATACTGCAAACACATACGCCAACATGAGCCACAGCGTGCTAGCCTTTAAAACTTATCATTCCAGCCTACCTTCCTCGCTGGAGCCGTCCGCTATCATGGAACATACCCCCGCAGCGGAGGCAGCAACGGTGACTCCATGATAACATGTTATCTGTAGTACAGGAACAGTCGGCCTGAAAACACACATACCCTACATGTTCTCTGCAGCCCATCAAAGCTGCCTCCGATACACCACAGATCTTCCAGAAGTCGTTAAGAACGCGGGTAGTCCCTCAACTTTGCTCGAGTTGTCGCTCGAGGTTGAAGAATACCCGAGTGCCCCATTTCAAGGTCTCAGTAAATCTGAAGAACTTGTCTCTATCAGCACACTGCCGTGTCGATGAGACTATGTGGCCGAAGCCACACGGCCTCTATCGTCGAGCGAATGTCACTCTGTACCATCTGCGATGAGCCAAATACTCCAAGGTCTAGAAAGCTCATTTACATGACGCAGCAGTCACCTACGTTGGCTTCCTCGTCCTTGTCACCTGGAATGCTTTCGGTGTCAGTCTCAGTTTCGCTTTTGCCGCACTTGAAGCGCCGCCTGAATGGGGAGCCGGGAATGAATTTGGGATCATGGGTTCGATGGTTTGTATAGTTTCTATAATGCACGTAAATTACGAGCGTTGATCGAATTTGTGGAGCCTGTCTGCCCTTGAAAACAGAAATGGGAAATACCTGGGGCTAAAAGGTGGTATATCTGGGGCCGAAAAGGTGGGCGTAGCTTAGAACGATCCTCATAATGAAACTTCTGAGTCCCAACTCATTCCCATCCAAACCTATCGTTGGAGTCGGGTTGAGGATGAGTCTGAAAATGTGGCAATGACGGCGCTGACCTATGATTGAAAAGTCAAACATGACTTCAGGGTATGTTGAAACGCAAAGGCTCTACCACACCATAGCACTGAAACTATTACTGAGTGAGTATTCTCATACTAGAACCCTTGAGGCCACTGTTCTGACCCATGACTCTCAAGGTCATGCCCTGAAACCGCAACCCAAAGCGCTAACCTAAACCCTCAACCCGAAACGAGCTCGTAAGTAGCTTCGATGCAGCGTTCCAAAAGGGGTCCAGGATTCAGGGTTCAGGGTCTCGCGCTTCAGGTGCAACGGTGTAACGTAGAGGCCTTAATATTTAGCATAGGGCTTTGGGGTATATTGTACTATAGTTATTAAGGAACCCCCAAAACAGTCTAGGCAACTATTTATTGAGGCCCCTATATTGAGGCACCTGGCTATAGCGATGGGCCAGCCATTCCTCTCCCCGAATTGTCCGAGGCCGACGGATCGCACCAGGAGGCCAAAGACTTTCCGATTACCTCGGCGTGGGTTTTTGGAGCGAAGGGTCTTCGTGTTGGTCTAGAGATAGAGTTTAGGAGATTTCCAGCTTAGGGTTGTCGGGGGTTTGTCCGGGGTTTGGGTGGTCGGCCTTTCCGTAGTTGATCTTCATGTTCTGTGGCTTGAGTACTCCGTCGCGCGACAAAGCGAGGCCTTCTGAGGCTTCCTGTGAGTATGAGTGCGGCTTGTGTCGGCTGTTAGTTGAGTCCTCCATGTTGACAGGTTATGCTTTGAAAGGCCTCGTCTCTGACAGTTTCACTGATCTGAGCTGGCCTGGATGCTTGCTTCGAAACATTTCTGACAAGTGTCGGTCTAGTGAGAGGGATGCTTATATGGAGCATACAGGCCCCTGATGGTTCCGTACGTTAAGCATCTAACACCAAGGAGGGCGTATCACCACCGTCGCCTGTGCCTCTTGCAACCGCCACTCCGGGCCACTCAACGTAGAGTCTCAAGGCCTTTGCCTTTACGGTTTAGGGTTTAGGGCTTTTAGCCAGCCTTTCCGATTAACTTGGAGAACATACTTGCACAGCACAGTTGCTGTAAGCTGACCACGTCTTCTTTACTAGGAAGCACTGTCGATCATGTCCTTTCCGTGTCTTTAAGATTAAGACGGTCTTTCTCGAGATACCTGACTTTGTCTCCGCTGTCAGGAAGCTGCCACGAAAAGCGACTGCAGGTTCTAGGATTTAGACGGGTCTCGACTTCTAGGGTCTTTACTATACTGTAATGCTTCAGGCTTGCTTAACCATGACTTTAGCACAAAACTTAAAAGGCTGAAGGATCCCATCCCCAAGCTGAGGCCCTAAACCAAACCCACACCACAAACTCTTGTCAGCCGTCGTAAGCGCGCTGAGGGAGCCACGCAAAAGGGGGCCAGGGTGTAGGGTTTAGGGTTTAGTGTTCGATGCTACTACAGGTATAAGGCTACAGGCTTCAGGTTTATGAGCGCGACTATGTATGCTTTTCGCTGTTTCAGTGCTAGTTTCCCTGTTGGTTTAGGTACCCGTTACCCTAAGCCCTTAACATCCCTAAACCCTAAACCCCAAATCCATAAATCCCAGTCTATTTCCCGATGGACTTTGAACTCAGATAAGCTCGCTCGTATATCCACAAAGACGGGGGAAGTATCTTATGATTCAATCTCAAGAGCACACACCCTCAACTCTAAACATACCGGACACATCAGTCCCGAAAACTTGCAAGGGCAACGTCTCGGGTAAGACGTCAAAACGAAGGTGGGATGCGGGGCTTGGCGATTTGCAATGGAAGGTGGTAGTTCAGATAAAACCAATTCCAGATGCTATGCGCTGCACTAGATGGAGCAAGCCGGTTACTCACAAAACCCGAGCCAACAAACACCTGGACCTAAGCCCCAAACCTGAATCAACAACTCCATAAAACATCTGAGCAGAAAATGCAGCCTTCCCTACACCATGAACCCTGAACCCTGAACACCGTGATACCCGAACCCCAACACCCTAGTACCCCAGTATCCTTATACCTAAACCCTGACACCCTAACACCCTAGTACCTAACCCACCAGCCCGAATGCCCCTGAACCCTATGTAAACCCTAATACTATACCCTAACACCCCAGTACCCCAACACCCTAATGCCCTAAAAGCAACAAGACCTGAAGATCTCTGCATGTCCCAGGCACTCAGCACGCCCTCAGCACCAAAGAGGTGGGCGCCTAAACTTGCGAGCGTGGCGTTCGTGGCAAGAGACGTCTTGACTTGGTTCTTCCGCCTCGGCTGCTAGGTTTAGGGTTTAGGGTTTACGGTTTAAAGTTTGGACCACTGTTTCTTGGGGCTTTGGCTTCAAGTTTAGGAGTTTAGGCTACTATAAAAGCAAAAATAATTACGAAGACTATTTTGGGGGGTCCTCATTATAATTATAGTCTACCCCCAAGCCCTATTCGAATTATTAAGGCCTTATATTAGAGGTCTTAGGTGGTGAGGCTTTGAGGCAAACTGGGCTTTCGTGGAGCCTGTAGGGTTTGGCGGCTTGCAGGTTGTTGAAGGTAAGGGCCTTTTTATTTAAGAATAAAGTTTCGGGGTATACCATACAATACTTATACTAAGGAAGCCCCAAAATAGTATAGGTAATTATGAAGGCCCCTATATTAAAAGGCTTTCGACTGGCTCGGCCTTGTCGGAGAGTGCGGTGTGCACACGTCTATCAAGTTTCAAAGCCCTCCATAGAACTGTTCGGATTTGACTCCCCTGGAGAAGTCCTTCCAGCCAGTTGCCGTGGGGGGCAGGCGGGCAGGGGGCAGCAAGAGGGCAAGGGGGGCGGGGTGGAGACTGTACGGGAGTCCGAGGAGGCGGAAGGTCATGGTGGAGGGGGGTCACTGGGGAGGGGATTAGAGGTGGGGTCTAAAGGAAGTCCGAACAGGAACCTCTGACCGCTTCGGCCGGGGGCCGAGGCGAATTATGTGGAATATACCCCAAGTAAAACGTGGATCCTGCACCAAACCCAGGCAATAAGGGGGTTTTGGAGTCTCTAGGACTACTTCGGCTGCCTTGGCGCTTGCGACTTTGGCCCTTTCTCAAGGCTTTAGTTTTTAGGGCTAAGGTTTAAGGGTTTAGGGTTTTGTGTTTAGGGTTTTATCGGTTAAAGAGCGGGAACCGTCTTCACAGAGAACCAGACCGGAACTCTTACAGAGGTAACGCTAGAGGTGTTGTTTTCTTAGTGTGTTTAGGATTTGAGAAGAGACTGATATTTCACTTTGAGATAAGTGTTGCAAGAAGCCGCGCTTTTCCTGGATGCCCTAGGCTGCGATTCATCTCTGTCTTTTCAGGCGCGGTGCGGCCTTGTGCGCCACATCAGACTCGAAAGTTTCAAAACCCGAAACCCACAGGGGAGTTTCCGAAAATTAGGGGTACCTTATTTTGGGGTCCTTGTATTGAGGATCTTATGGTACTATATTAGGGTCCCCTTTTCTCGGAAACTCCCCAATGCCCTAAACAACAGAGAAGAAGCACTGAGCTCTCGCTAGAATGTATGCAAACACAGGTTCTTCGTGGCTGGGTAGGTAGCCGATGAAGTTACAACGCAGAGGTCAACCTGTTTTGGGCTAGGGTACTCGGCTCCTGATGATTATATACCCCCCCCTGCCCCTCCCCCCGCCAGCGTGCCTTGATTCCTTGCTTCCTCCCCCTGCCTGCCTTGCTTCTGGCTGCACCGCCGAACGCAATCTCCTCCCCTTCCCCTCATCCGCTCCGCCAACGGCGCCTTCAGCACCAGCAGTTCGTTGGCCCTCTTTGTTTGCGGCCGGGCCGAGGCGGACGACGCGAAGCGTTTTAAATAATAACTTATGATTTAAGGTATATTCCTCAT